TTATAAATTTGTTTATATCACCATATATTATATAATAATCTGTGTAGTTTAGAACATATTTCTATAACTGGGATAATATCCAATACTTCGTGTAATTAAGAATAATTTTTTTTAATTAATTTGTGTCATAAATTGATTTTTATACGATCTTTTTGGATGGAGCCGTAGTTATGTTAGAAACCAGTTGTATATGTAGTTCTATGCCTGCTAATAAATTTAAATTTAATGCTTGATTGCTGTTTGTCGGTAAATGCTTTAATCTGAACGACACGTGCGAGTGACGTGTTTGCACGTGTAACCATAATGTTTTTTTTTGGTCGATCAACTATTACAGTATTAATCAGAAAACCCACAAAGGTACAACGCAAATTCACATGGGGAAATTACAAACCCATAAAGGGTAGATAACAACATCTCGTATAGAGATGTAAACTAGCCATACCTCAAAAGAAGTATACCACAAAGCCTGGTTTCGTCCCAAAACCTAGGATCGGAGATTCCCCTTATACTCCACTTAATCGGTATAAACCGAATCAGGATCATAACGTGGGATCTGCATCCTAAGAGGAGTTCTCCGATTAATACAATAGAAGTAATGCCGACTAAGTCACTACTGATTATTTTACAGTACTTTTTTTTCTTTCAAAAACTACAAAAAGATCGTGTTGCTCTTGGTTTTCTCAAACCGTACTTTTGTTTTTGATGAACCGGATTGTACCAAAATCGATTCCCTTTTTGGGTTGGATTATTTTAATATATTTTTATTATTAAAAAAAAAGAAATTATTTTACAGACTTTTAAATTACAATTATTAAAAAACAAAAAAGATATAATGTTAACAAGATCAGCATGATACATGGAGTACATAAAATTTGACAATAATCATAAAATTAAATTTGGTTTGGTAATTTGTCATGGAGTAGATAGTTTTTTCAAAAAAGAAAAATAATGATTGATAGTCAGTCATTCCACTATTTCATATGAATAATGACAAAACAAAAAATATAAAATATGTGTATAGTCAAAAATCTCTTCTTCTACAATCTATTTTTTCTTTTTTTTTAGAACCCACATTGATTTCTCAAACATTTCTTGGATTGTTCTAAAATCTCAGATTCAACAAAAATGGAGGAAGAAGGATTATTACAATCTCCTAATAGTAATAAATCTTCTTCATCGTTTTTGTCTGAAATATCAAATGTCTCCACGACACCTTTTGTTCTTGCCTTCACTGTCTGTTCTTGTGGAGCTTTTGTCTTTGGATGTGTTGTGAGTTTCCTAAATTTTACATTTATTAAACTCTTAAATTATTTTTCTGTCTACTTTTCTATTCAAATTCGAGGATTAGAGAGAAAATTATTTCATGCATGTTGAAATTATATTTTTATTTTCTTAATTTCTCACAGAATGGATATTCAGCTCCTACACAGTCTGGTATCATGAAAGACTTGAATCTCTCCGTAGCTGATGCAAGTTTCTCTTTCGGTTTATTCCGGTTATCTATTTCTGGTTCGACCGGATTTGTTTTTGGTTTAGTCACATTTTCAATAATTATCTTTTTGTTTTTTAGTATTCACTATTTGGATCAATATTAACGGTTGGACTAATCCTTGGAGCAATAATCTGTGGAAAATTAACAGATTTGGTTGGTCGTGTCTACGTAAGTTTTCAAGTTACAAATTTAATCATACAATTATAGAAATAATGATTTTTTTTATGTGATTCTATTTGAACCAGACAATATGGATCACAAACACTCTCTTCCTAATCGGCTGGTTCACTATCGCATTTGCCAAGGTTTGCTATTTTCTATGGTTTTTTTTGGTTAGTTAAGTGGATACTTACACTATGATACATTGATAACTAATTTAGTAAAAGACTAGTATGATTTTTTAGATATTTATTTGCAAGAAAGACACTCAATTGGGGTGTGTTAAAAAAAACACTCAAATGGGGTGTTATTTATCTAAATAACATACCATTTTATTAATTAACATGTTAGAGTTTTAAAACTTAATATTATTTTCTATTTAAAAACATTTTATTTTGAAAAATAGCAATAATTATTTGTTTTTTGCCAAAAAAAAATTGCATTACTCATTTACCTGGTTTTATTAATAAATATTCATGTTCATTTGGTGCTTTACTTCTTTTTCGATATTTAAACGTCGGTTAAATCTGTAAATGATCTTACATGGATTTGTTCTTTAATATTTGAAAAAGGGTGTTTGGATGCTCGATATCGGAAGGTTATTGCATGGGATCGCGCTCGGAATTAGCGCATATTTGGTAACACTCAAAACCGTAATGAATAGATATTACATACAAGTAGAGGTTAATTAGATTTTTGATTTCGTAAGCGATGTTTAATTAGATTTCTGTTGTGTCACTATATATGGGTTCAAGTCGGATATAATGCCTATATGGTTTTAGTCAAATTATACTTATTGCAAATTCGAGATATCATAACATTTTTGTACCCAATGATAAGCTAATAACCACTAACTACAGGGGCCAATCTACATGACTGAGCTAACACCAAGAAAGTTGAGAGGAACTGTTTCTTCCTTATCTCAGGTAAATTAATATCGCAGGTAAATTCAAGAACAAAAAATCTGAAAATATAGAAATGTATGTTTCTAATATTCTACGATACAATGCTTTTATGTTCTACAGTTATTCGCCATCGTAGGTTTATCTGTCTTTTACGCACTTGGTACAGTCGTTACGTGGCGCAGTTTAGCCATTTTGGGTATGTGAAAAAGATCAATCCTCATCAAATGCAAAACTTAAACTTTTCTCATTTGCATAAAAGGAAAAAAAAATACAATTATAGTAATGGTTTTGTGTTTGGACAGGAG